CATTTTTTCACGATCATATGAGCATTATGAGTCGTGCACTTTTGGATTTTTCCAAACTCTTTTTATTGAGATAAAATTAACGAATAATACTTTAAAAAATTTAAAAAATTGACGTATAGCATGAGTGGTTGCACATTTGGATTTACCAAAAGTTTTTTATTTCTTTGAAGTCTGTTTTTAGTTTTATTAAAAGTAATTTTCTTGGCCAATCTCTATAAATCCACAACGTGAACGTATCGTATTATATAGGTTAGAAGATCTGTTATTTTAAATATATTTACTTGCATATCTACAGTTTAGTATCTTTACACACACTTTTTGTTTTGTTTATTACAGAACCTTTTTATTTTTTGAATAGGATCCACATGCATATGCACATTTTTGTATACATTAAAAATATTTTAATACTCAGTATTAACCCAAATTTCCATTAAAATAAGATCATTTTTATCCTTTAGAACCTTATAACTTTTGTGTGTAAGTCGGTCGAGCAGTATGTAAGAATTGTACCTCAACTGTTTCATCTTGTTAAAGACATCAACGGGTGCCATTTTATGTTCCTTTTAATAATACTGCTTCTTTGATTAAATGCTTGATTATGTAATATCTTATATTATGTTACTGAAATCTTAAATACAAATTAAAACATAATAATTCGATATTTATTCAGTAAAATTTAAACAACATTCACAAAAAAGTGTAATTTAATATCATTAGAAATTTACCTAAATATATTTAAATTAATAAATGCGTTTTTGTAATATTGTCGAATCTGTCTTTACTCCAAAATATGATACTTAATTTACTATGTAGTGGTGATTTAGAACATCTTCTACTCCGTGAGCATCGTAAGAGTCAGCAGAGGAAAATTGAAACGAGTGATGGGCTGCAGTATCTTCTTGAAGACGCTTGCCAGGCGAGTCAACTGCAGCAAAATCTCTCCTATGAAATATTTCATGAGGGAAGCATAAGTACAGCAGTAGAATTTTATATATTAGATAAATACATTTTACATTTTAGATAAAGAATGTGTGTGAAATTAACGTTTTTCTAATTCCAAAATTTAAAAATGGTTTAGAAATCAAAAACACAAAAATCAGGAGAAGAAATTGAGCAAATGTTTCTAATATTTATAAGTGGCAAATTATCATGGGAGCTGAAGGGTCCACTGTCACAGATGCGCCTCGCTCTATTTTAATGTGGCTTACATTTGAGATGGACATACCGTCGCTTAGCGAAAGCTACCTGATCTAATATTTCTATGACAGAGATACGATGAAATGGGGTGAAATTAATTGTTAAGTTTTATTATAATTAAAAAAGTTAATTAATCCATTAAGAAGTAATATTGCATATTTTTATTTCAGTTTGAGTACAGCAATGTGCATTAGGTGCAGCCTCCGGTGACCAGCCGTCGCTACACGCCAGCTTTCTCTTGACGTTGAACGGGTGGGATGCGGCCATTTAAACGACATCTACTCGATTGGCGGTGCGAATTCTAGTTTACTATTATAGTAAAAGCGGCTTGGTAACAAAGTTGACCGTGTATAGTGACCTTCATCTCACACAAAATAATTTTGTATAAAAATCAATCTTTTCATAAACTATAATAGTTAATAAAACTAATATGGACATATTTCCATCCGTATTAAATAATTTTTTTGAAAATCTACTACCATTTCTAAATTAATTTCTAATTGGAGAAAAAAGCGACTTATAAAATTTGTGGACATTTTACAAATTTTTTGCTGCTGTTAATGATTGTATTATTACTTTATAATATAATTAATAGATTCACGCGTTACTTCGAGGAAATTCATTATAATAAGGGTGATAAAATTATTATTATTATTTTTATAGGAGATGGGGCAAACGAGCAAACGGCTCACTTGATGGTAAGTGACTACCGCGAGTTGCTGGCCTTTTATAAAAGAGTAAGCTCTTTTCTTAAAGGTCTCTAAGTCATACCGGTCCTGAAAAATCACCGGTGATAGACTATTTGACAGAGAGGTCGAATGCGGAAGAAAAATTCTTGTGAAACGTAGAGTGGTAGACCAACAAGCATCTAGATAGTGTGGAAGGTATCTCGGGAGATTTGCTGCGATGTACGTTCATTAAAATGGCGGCTGGAATAATCCGAACAATTCCTCAAAGTACCTTTTTCCCGTGGTAGATGCGAAGGAAAATGCAAAGGGATGCAACATCTCTTTGCAGCGCCAGTGAATTGAGCCAATCGGAACGGACTTGGTCGTCGACGGTTCGAGTCCCTCTGTGCTAGTTGCAATCAAGTGGAAAGAGCTGGCACTGCGGTGCCCCGGCCAGAGATGGGCAGTATGCCATGTGAGACTGAACCTGCGCCTTGTAACGTTGCAGGCAGTGTGCCGGCATGAAATACTGGCCCGCTCTGCTGAGCACGTCAAGCTAAGCTAGCTAAAATACGCTAATTGCTTAATTTAAAGACCACTTCCCAGACTGAGTGAAGGAAATTGAAGGTAGGTGATCTGTAAATTCGGTAAGATACGTCATTTTTATCTTTTATGATCTTACCTTATTAATTTTAGACTCTTTAATATCTTAAAATATAAAATCTTAATTATGACAATATATAAATCTATCAACAGTCTTAACTCTTTTTGATATTAAATATAAAAGAAACCGGGCTTATAATTACAGTGTAAACTCGAGAAGCCCCATTCGCTCAAGAAATATGTTTACAGATATGACTACTGAACTAAGCGTATGTAGAAAACTTTACGTTAGTTACAAACCTTTCGTCTGTAGAATAACAAGGATACGATCAGCATAAGTATAACACTGGATACTTCGTATGCTCATTCTGTCCAAATCGAACTTAACTGGCCTACAATACTCACAATAAATTTCGCACGCAACGGTCCTCAAATATAAATCAGCGAGGCGTGGTGCAGTGGATTGAATCGCTAAAACATGAAACGGGCATTGGCCAGCGAGGAGAAAGCGCTGCTCTACGATCAGCTGATGGCTGTAGTGTGCGTACACATGTGTATGTGTCGTTTGCTGCGGATTGTATGCTTTTTCTTTGACGCTCATAAAAATATAAAATCTGTTTATTTTAAGCCTTGGCCCACATCTTGTTAGTATAATATTTACATGAAAAAACTATGTGCGTAGTGTGTTTCTACAAATCAGTTTTATAATAAATAATATTATTGTAAAATCTACTTTTATAATACAATAATTAAAATTTTGCTGTGGCCGTTTTGTCATATGGTTGTTGTAAGAGAGGCGACTATATGCAGAAAAGATCCTATGGCTTTTTATAGATTGTTATAACGATCTCTTTAAGGCCAGGTGCAAACAATTAAATTTTAAAATTCTCGCTTTAATTTACTAAATAGAATAAAATAATTTTCACTTAACAGCTTCAGAAGTTGGCACTACGAAACGCTATGTACAAATAAATTAAACACCCGACTTTGGAAGTATTAAAACACACATTATTTCATTATTTTTAGTTCTTTGACTGGCTTTCGATTTCAATTAAAAATTTTTTTTGATCCTTTTGAGTGGGTTAAGGAAAATCATGAGTCATAAAGGCCATCTATATAGTTACATTGCAATCTTTTTGAATTGAATTTCAGTTTCTGTTTCCTATTTTCCCACGCTTAGGGATAGATTATTACTCCATATTTATATGAGAATCGTAAAAAAATAATTAAAATAAGTCTATACTTGAGGAAGGTATCAAGTGACATATAGAAAATAGTCTACAATCGAACTGTTCATTTTTTTAAAGTGTTAATTAAAATAAACTCCCTTTTTAAAAGTGGGCTAAATACTCGCACCAGAGACGCGCCAAGATATGATGAAACGTGTCGGACCCCGACCGTCAAGTCACCTATTTAGTGTGACAACTATGGCAAATTTGCCCCTATGAGGCAATCTATGGAGGGTACTTTGTTCAGCGGTGGATTGTTGATATGCTGAAACGGGAAATACTATGTGTGACAATTAAGAAAAATGGAAAATGGGGTGATGGAATCTTTTAAACCGTCACTACACGGCAATGTTTATTAAAGATTAAGTACCATAATAATAATACCCCATATAAAAAACTGCGGTTTTCAACCCAATTGCTTAACGGGGCAACAATGAAAAATTTACCCCATAAGGCAATCTATGGGGGAGGCCCATGTTCACCAGTGGACCTTAAAATGCTGTAACGGTATATATTATAAATCAAAAGAAGTTCCCATGATTGTGTAATAAAGATGAGATAAGATTGAAGGTCAAAAATCACAGTTTTGTATGTCATAATAAAAAATGTACAGTGATTTTTAAAAGATAAGGATTTTGCGTAATGCTTGATGAGTTCTGAGTCACAAGATTTTTCCAACAAATTGGCTAATATTGCAAACCTGGTGCAACGAACCTTGGACGATTTTGTTGTTTCATTGGAAATCCCCAAACCTTGTTCAATATTTGGGCAAAAAACAATGCCTAATATTTCATACAAAAATGATATGAAAATATGAACACAAAAATAAATTTGTCGAAATATAAGTAACAGTATATCCAATAAGAGTGAGAAATAAATTGCCCCATTGCATTCACAGTCTTTTCAAGCCTGTGTGTGAAATAAAATAAAAACCCATTATTTTTCGAATTAAAAAATAAAAATTTCCTTATTTATTTTCTTTTAATTGAAATAAGATTCCCTCTAACCAAATTACTGAATAAAAATGAATTTAAAATATGATAAATTTTATGTTAACTTTCCTCCTAAATTATGATATATCGAATTTAGATTTTACTACTAAGAAGATTTCTCAACCGTATAGTAAGTCTACTTACTGAATACTTATGATAGAATACAGAAATTAGTACAAACCAGTAAGAGCTAATATTCACTATATTAATAAATACATATATTATTTTAATAATATTGTATTTTAATGCCAAAGTTCACATGTGGACTCATATGGTCGTTTGCCACCCGTATTCCATAAAGTTAAAAAAACCTAAAGATACATTGCTTGGATGTGTTGACCACCAAAACTTTGCACGATACTGAAACGGACTGCAATAGTGAAAACTGCCACAAATGCACTTGACACCGGGCCCGGCGCCTGCATGGTCATTGCCGCGACGTGCGCGCGCATCTCAGGCGCGCGAGTGAAAGTCGAACTGCCTCCCCCTTGTCCGCACCTCAGGCCGCAACGCCCCGCGCTATATGTGTCACTGGTAGACCTAGCTAAATCTACTGGCATGTTTTCTAGCTCAGCTACGTGACATGTTATTAGCGTGGCTACGAGTTTTAATACTCTACAACCTCTACATCGGATGTTAATATGTTCTTATCTATCTTCTAATAATATAGTATATTCACTTAAGCCGTTCGTGATTTTAAAGATTTTGCAATATAGTGTTTTGTATGGGAATTTGAGCCTTTTACTAATGAGGGTCCACCTGATAGAGGCTACAACGGCCGATGAATATTTTGATTCTTTCTCAATGACTAGAATAGAACTTTATTTTTAAAGATTCGCTGTTTGACTCCCATAACTCAAAACTTTAATTTTGAGTGCGTATTTTGCGTGTAACTAATATATTAACAAAATATTACTTTTATGTATATTTATATAAAATTCATGTGCAGTTTTGAGAACAAGGGATACTGCAAAGCATTTAATTCGTTTATATAGAGGTTTAATTTTTTTATAAAAAGTGTGACAAATGAGCACATAGTGTACCTGATTCTGTGGCCCATAGACATCTACATCTATCCTCATTTAAAAATCAAAATGAAGATGCGTTGTCACTTGCGAGAACTAAGATGGAATGCCTCACTTTCAGTAAAAAGAGTTTCCGCTTATTCTTTATTCTACATTTGAATATTACTACATTTAAAAAATTGGTCTATTGATACATTCGTCATCAATTTATACTTGCACATAAACACTAACAGTAATTAAAGAATTTCAGGACAGCGGCTTCTAAGAACACATACAAGCAGAGTAGAGGCCCAATCTTACACCCATAAAACGTCTATATTGCTATCTGATAAGTGAAAATAATTCTTAATATTTGCACTTATATAAATATATTTAAACTCAATATATTTAATATATAAATATTGATATAAATACGTTAATAGTACAAGTATTGATTTTAGTTTAAGATTTCAATGATAATATAATATGCAGGCGTTTCTCTGAGGAGGTATTGTTTTTGCCAACATTTTTTTGAATAAGGATATACATAATAGTTTTAAACAATCGTTTATTAAATAAAAAAATATAATGAATTTTATTTATTATTTTAATTATTTAAAAACTTACATGTAACACCTTATGCTAAAGGGTACATAGGGCGGACTTAATGCCATGTGGCATTCACTGCCAGTCAACCCTGGGTGCCAAGAACAATTGTTGGCAGGTGCGACCATTATACATAAATAAGTGCACAAACATTAAAATATACGTATATACAAAGTACATATATACACAATACATTTAAATATACACACATATAGTATAAATATACGTACAATAATATATTTATTTCATTATACATAAATAAGTCAAACATTAAAATATACATATATACAAAGTACATATATACACAATACATTTAAATATACACACATATAGTATAAATATACGTACAATAATATATATATATATATATATATTATATATATTAATATATATATATATATATATATATATATATATATATATATATATATACATATATACGTGCTTATAAACTTCGTCAATAAATATCCAAATGAATGATATGTAATATAATGTTTGAATAATATATAATGAAATTAATATTTGAAGTAAATAAAAGAAGAAAAGAAAGATAAGAATTAAGGAAAAATAATGTCAATTAGCAGTTGCCTTCAGGTAATGTTCTCGGAGAAGAACTTTGAAAACTTTTTATTTGTGACATTCTTAATATCGTTGGGGAGGGTGTTCCAAAATTCAAAAGAATAATGATTTTGCCTTTGATTTCTCTAACGAACTAATGAATGATCAGAGTAACTAGCTACTGAGAAAGTCTTGGGTTCGAAACTAATCTGAAACTGACGAAATTTGTGCAAAAATACTAACTTGTCATTTTATTTGCGATTTTCATTAGTATTTTACATAGTTAAAATTTTTGTCAACTTTGTCATTACTACTAGATAATTGCCAATCCACTGAAAGAACTATCCGAAGGAATGACCTTTTGTCTATTGAGCTATGTTCAATCTGACGTCATATTTCACTGTACTTCTTGGAACAAGAAGCCTAACCCTGTTGTAATTGTATAAATAACTCGTCTACTTTAAGTATTTAAGTTAGTATTACATAATAAATTAAATATTAAAAAAATTAAAGTTTAGTTGCATCCCATATAACTTTGCCCACAAAGGCCTCCCTGTAATAGTTATATAGAAATTTTAAATGTTAATAAATACTAGAAATTGTAAATGCTAATAAATACATGTTGGCGGACTTCAAATGCTTTCGAAATATTTTTTCCTGACGATGTTTTCTTTCACCGCCGAGTACTTGGCAAATCAGCACTAAGTCAAAGTCAAGATGTTTTTATTCAAAATTGGCCTTTACAAAGCACTTTTAAAAGTAAAGTTTTACGCCAATAAAATTGCAAATAATTTCATTGGTGCCGGCTTTTATATATAAGTAACCAAGACATTAATATGTAATTAACATAAAAAAACTAATAAAAAAATATTTTTACTAATGTTTCCTTATAACGATGAACGTAATTATTCCAGTACATAGTTAACAAGACGTCGCAGGGTCGTCTAAATCATTGTGTCTCGTTAAACCTAAATTACTTAGAGGTCAAGTGATGCATACATCCTTCGTCTAGCTCCGCCTAACCCTCGGTAAGTAGGTTCAAATTCTGAGTCACATCACAAACTTGCAATGAAGTAATTTGGTAGGCGTTATAAGGAAATAGGTTTGTTTTGGATTTTGATAGGTGTATTGATTTCTTTCATGTCCGTTACTTTGTGATAATCATTAAATTTGCACGCGTTGAATGTTTTTGCCATATTAGAATTAAATGTATTATTAATAAATATCAGTTTTTATATTATTCAACTAGCAACTCACACCGGCTAACTATATTATCACCCATTTCACCGGCTTACTATATTATATTTACCAATTTTGCGCTTCGATTTAATAAAAATCTTCAAGTTTTTCATATAAAATATAGTCTACATGCCTCCTGGCATTACGTTCATCTTTATCGTTTCATTACAATCAGTTCAGTATGAATACCAGCGTAAAATAGCAGCTTAATGCTGTAGTGTTTCATATGGTGAGTGTAGTGATCCGAAGACCCTTTTTACTGGAAACGAGACATTCTATCTTAGTCCTCAGGGGTGACAACGCATCTGGGTTTTGATTCTTAATCGAGGATAAATGTATCTGTTCTATCTATCTATGTATCTATTAAAAATCTGACGTTTTGATCTTATTTTGGGCACGTTTTTTTGAGATGGTTTCCATCCAGAACATTTTCCTATTTTTCTTTTTTGTATTCTAAAGATAACTCAAGAATAATTGTCATCCTTTGGCATTTAGACAACACCGGTGATATTACAAAAAATTGAGCGCATTTCCTACTAAAGTCATGTTTCATCTAGCACGCTGGAAGTACACGATAGAATAGACTCTTAACAATCTGAGACAAAGCCGCGGGCATTGCACTGAGCGGACTCGTAAAACGCTTATGGTAAAAATGGGCTGACTTAATGCCTGTATGCATCCTCTGACACTTAACTGAAATATTTTATAAATATTAATTTACTTCATAAATTATAATACGTAATTCGAAATATAGTACTTATATGAAATTTATATTTTAGTATTTAATAATAATTATAAAAACAGGAAAATCACGTAGACCCTTAGGATACCCACTGGAAAAAATGTGATGATGTGATAAGACAAGGTTTAAATAGGCAGTTAATGAGTGATATATAAAAGTAGCTATAATATACTGAATTATCCAGAATTTGACTCAGCTTTAGCTTCGTATAGATTACTAATTGAAACTTATTTATGTATAACACAAATAATAATTCAATTAATAGTCTATAATTATTCAACATAAATATAGAAAAATCACGCTAGTATATTCACTTAGTTTTATCTGCCTTAAAAGCAACATACACACCTGTTTTTCATTGTCGTGCACATCTATGGCATAGTACCTTTATAATGATGCAAGATTCAATAAATATCTAAAGGTAAAGGTACTTCCATTTCGGATATTCACTTATTAACATAATGCTTAAAATATATTTTAAGTTCGCTTATTTTTTTAAATTCACTTGCGTACAATGACGACAATTTTAAAAAGGTACTGCAGCTGATGGCCCAAAATAACACATTTTACTCTTGTTATAGGACCAAACTACCGAAGGTCTGATGTCACTTAAATTCTATTGATTGCCTATATGACAAAGGCTCACGCTATTTCTGAATTAACAATAACACCGTATAAGGTTTGAATTTGTTAACTTCTACTTAAAATAATTGGAAATAAATTAGACGTCAAAATGTTGACCTTCTTTAAATAACGAACAACAAACTACGAGTCACATATATTCGTCTTTCAAGGGATCTTGCAAAATAAAAACATAAATTTAAAGTAAACGATAAAGCGCTTAAAAAATTCTTTCGAATTACAAATAATGCTTGAAGAAAAAATAGAGGCAGATAATGACGGTGCACGGGCGTGTAGATACTCGTATCTATCATATATTGTAACTAAGGAATCGTACAAGTAGACTTAAAATTTTATAAATATTGGAAAGGAACGTCTTTGGCTAAGATTTATCGACCAAATTGGCGATATATTTAAAATGAGCCAAATGAAGAGTACCCTTAACCGACGAGCATGTCTGCGTAGGTATATGGATGTGGAGGAGGCGAAAGAAGTGTGTCAGAATTGTGACACACCTCTTTCGCTTCCAGAATTTTATTAATTATGGGATCCCAAGCCAAGATGGTAGAACCCAGCCATCATCTCTATAGAAATTATGATGTTTTTTGATTTCGATAGCAATGTGAATCATGCTTGGTAGGGAATCGGTTTAGGATTTGTGGTCTATAAAATCTGATATGATGGTAGGGACGATCCTGAATATGTTGACATACTGCAAATGTCCCGGAGCGTCGGTGGTGCGATCATGGGCGCTGGAAATTGCCCGAAACGTGGATATTTAAAAAAGTAA